ACCAGTAACTTAAATAAAAAAACTTTAAAATACGTTAGTTGATTTTATATTGGACATATTTGATGCCAATAATTTTTTATTCAACCCCTTAGCTGCTACCCTACCCAACTTTTCTTTTTTCAAATGCATATGTATGTCTTGTGTACGGCCTTAGAAATGCTTGTGAAAATGAAATCACAACATACCTCTTTTACTTATACGGTTAAAGGGAAATAAAAAAAATTAAGAAGTTACTAACATGAAGGAGTTAAAGATAAAAAATTCCATTTTTTAAATAAATAAATATTTAAATACTATTCTAAACAAAGCCTCTACGAACTTTTATTATATTTATTCATTCAGTTGTTTGATGTTTTTGCCTATCTTGATTATCACGAATTTCATTTTTGCAGGTGTGTATTCTAGTCTAGGAATATTGTCGAAAAATACAAATTGCATTGCAGAAAAACTCCTACCCAAACGAATTTTTCAGGGACGGTGGGGGATCGTAACACCAAAGATATCATACATACACAACTCTAGCATTTTGTGCTATAGGCGTTGAAAGTGCGCCATTGGCGATTACTTGGTACCTATTGATTTTACAAAAAAATGTCTCAAATAAAAGATGTGCAAAATTTTTTGATTTAAAATGTTTATCTAAAGATTTTTTTTTGATTAAAGGGCTTCTGTGGCCATAAGGGCGGTGTGAAATTTATAATGGAAATAAGATTTAACCAACGTTAAAAAAATCTGCAACACCTAGAACATTATTACTTTATGAAGTTTATCCTCACCCCTTACCTTTTTTTCAACAGGGGTAGTTTAAAGTTTTTTATTTCTTTACAAAAAATGTTGTTAATAAATTTTTATAAGATTACATTTCCTACAATTTTGTCTCATGAACTTTTTTTGTAACTCACCCTCATTTACCGGGGGACACTTTCCTTAGGGAAACTTTCTCGGAATAATGCAAGTTAGGCATTCATTCAATGACAACTGCTTGATATAATCGTATCTCGTATCTCGTATCATAATAAAGTATTAGGGAGTGTGTTTAGCTGACTTTTATTTAGGGTAAAAACCCCAAATTGGCAATTAGTGCTTACATCAGAAGTGGGATAACTTACGTGAACAAGTGTGTTAAATAATAGGTACTTTAAAGTCATTGAAATTTAAGTGCAAATTAAAGTAAAATGGCTGACTCACGAGAAAAGCAAATCAGTGATTCTATCGAGAACATTAACGCTGACCAGAGGGAAGAAAGTTTTCATCACCAAAACGTTCAAGGTTGGACTGACAAGAAAATTTGGTACGATAATATAAATATACGATATACAGGGTGGCACATTAGTATGGAAAAGCTCAATATATCTGTTATTGTAGAAGATATCAAAAAAACGTCATTACAAAAGTTGTAGATCTTTTTAAACTGCACATTTTAAAATTAGTTACATTCATACAGACTGTCCCGTTTTTCCGCAGTAGATCAAACTTATACTTTTTTAAAAGGAACACTCTGTTTTTTAAAAAAATATAATTTTGTATAACGTTATACTGAGTGGTTTAAAAGTTATGACCACTTTTCCACGAAAATCGTACTAAGTTTACCACTCTGTAGAAACTAAATGGATTGAATTGAAAATAAATTTCACGTTTTACAACATTGCAAATATCCTGAAAATGTACAAAATGAATATTTTTTGTCAATTTTAATCATACTGCTTACAGGGTGGATCCAAACGCAAAAGTAACATTTTCTCTGTTAATTTAAATGGATCACCCTATATTTTATATCGTTAACAGGAAGTATTTTTAAAGTACTTTCATTCTTAATAACCATTCCCTATACCTAAAGTTAACGCTTTTCGAGATATTCCAATTAAAAAAAATTAGAAAGGAATACTGAAGAAAAAAATTAAGTTTTCTTTTTGATCGAAGTACACGTTACAGAAAGAAGTAAGAAACGTCAATTAAATACTATCTAGTATGATTTGTCGGTATTGCCTCCGCAATTTGTAAAAATTAGAATACAAAATGAATTTTTCTATTGAACAATTATTGATGGTTATGATTTGGGTATTGGGAGAAAGTTTAGAGAATTTATTGGTTTGCCGAAAGGATTTGCCATGAGAGATATCCTGGAGGAATACAACCTAACAAAAAATCCTTTGAAAAATGTTTAGATTGTCTCAATCGTATGGCTTCAGCGGCATACGAAAAGCCAGAATATGAAAACCTATTTTAAACGAACAAAATGGACCAAATTATCATTAATAATTGGTATTAGCAATTGTTATAAGTCGCAATAGACACAACAAAGTTATTAGTACCTACACGATTAGCGATTAGTATCTGGTGATAGGTGAGTCCAATTAAAGAATATTGAAATATCTCGAAAAATATCAAATTTAGGTACAGGGAAAGTTTATTAGGTATAGACAATTTTTACCAGAACTTCGGTTATTATAAAAAGGAAAGCTTAATTTTTTCTTCTTCAATTTTAAGTTCTAATTTTTTTTAAGTGAATTATCTTGAAAAGTGTTAACTTTAGGTATAGGGAATGGTTATTAAGAATGAAAGTACTTCAAAAATACTTCCTGTTAACGATATAAACTGAACTGAACAGTTTAAATTATTTTATTTGGCATATAAATTGGGTGCATAGAAACACTCGAATACAACAATTACATTAAAATAATGCGACCGTGTTAGGTTTGGCGTTTTGTTACCAAGTCTCGATGCCCAGACGCTAGCTCTGGAATTTTTAGTGGGGAGGGCTAGACGCCCGTCGCGTCGGCCCGGCGAATTCGCCCAAAAAAAGCAAGGTTGCCACATAAGTTAAAAATTCCTTCGCTTCTTTGAGCATCAGCGTTGCCGAATATAAATTAGAATTTGGTACAAACAGAAGATAACTTCAAGAAGCAATCTGAGCGCTGCAATGCTACTCGTTACACTTCCAAACTATTTCAAGAGAAAGATGTAGTGGCAGTTGAAGATTCTCAGGTAGCTAGTGGTGGCAAACTTAAAGCTAAATTCAATGGACCATATACAGTCCGCAAGGTTCTGCCTAACGAGAGGTACTTGCTTTCAAACAAGGGGAAAAGAAGTACAGTGGCTGCACACGTACAGCTGAGGACTTGGCCTACAGAGGAGGCAATGTCATAAAATAAAAGGTACGTTATAAGAATATTAGCGTTTCTTAAAAAAATGTCTTAAAAATGATAGTGGCAACTCCACAAGTTTAAAAGAGTGGCAACCCCACTAGTTCACTAAAGTTGTGAGTTAGAATAGTGGTAACTCCACTAGTTCTAAATAGTGGCAACCCCACTAGAATTGTAAGTAAGGATAGTGGCAACCCCACAAGCCCTAAATAGTGGCAATCCCACTAACAGAGTTTTGGGATAAGTTAGTGACAACTTGACTAATCTTGTACTTTAGTGTCGAACTGACAATGTTTTACGTAGTACTTTGTGTACTAGCAACTTTTACAATGTTGAAAAAATCATTAAATGGTTAAAAAAACAATAATAATACTGGATCAGTTTTATTCTGGTAACTTCTGTGTTTTAAAATTACAGATGTGTCGCAGGGACGCTCCAATTGCAAGATGGCCGTGTTAGAGTAAATAATATAAAACCCTCGTATACAAGACTGATGCCCTGGTAGGCCCTCGCATGACCAAGGAGACGTTAGCGCATCTCGGAATAATGCAAGTTAGGCATTCATTCAATGATAACTGCTCGACATAATCGTATCTCGAATCTCGTATCATAATAAAGTATTAAAGTGTGTTTATCTGACTTTTATTTAGGGTAAAAACCCCAAATTGACGATTAGTGCTTACATATTTTATACATTTCGTATCATCACCTGCATTAATAAAGGAGCTCAATTTTGAAGAATATATTTTAACTGAAGGAACTTTACCAATAATCTTATTACGATTTTTAATATATGTTTTACAGCTTCGACTGAACCTAGTTCAACTTTGATCATAGCTGAAATTCAAAATCTTGCCATCTATTTGTGAAAATAGCTCCTTTAATGCATTCATTTCATCTTCAATTCTTTCACTTCTGTTGGTAGTACTTCTGTATTATATTCACATTAAATATAATAACGTTATTGGATCGCCTTCTTCCTTCTTTTATCTTGGGGAGATTTTAGAACGTTACAAACTGTATAGACGATTTTTTTCTAAATCACTTAAAGTTCTCTTTAAAAACTCGATAATCTTTCCGGTAAGGAACTAACAATTAGTAGTTAAATTAAATATTTAAATAAAATTCCCAAGATAAAAAATCCTGTGTGTAATGTATAAAATCAAATATTTGCTTAAATAAAAATAAATTATTTATTATAATATTTAACAGGAATATTAACAACACAACTAATGACAATTTTTAACGAATTGATATAGTTTAAAGTGGTACAAATACATTTCTACATTGTTGCTACGACCGCATATGTGGCAACTCCACATTGATTTTTATTGTTTCTGGACATCAAAATGTAACCATTCATTCCCCAATCGGTTCCCCATGAATTTTTAACAATCCAATAATCTTTTCCCTTTTTACTGCCATATCCAACAGCCAATACACCATGATCCAATGATTGTCTATCACTTTCACAGGAATCGTCATCAAATACACCTGTTAAATTGTAAATCGTCTTATTGTAAATATCGTTCGAGAAAGTATAAGAAATAAGTATTTACCTGAACTATACAATTGGAAATTATAAGTTGCATCAATTCCAATCGATACAGGTCCAATCAATGCAACTTTTTCTTGTAAGTCTTGTTCATCACCAATTACTACTCTTGTAAATGATGTAATTTTCACAGCTACATCAGATTTGTTAAATTTACACATGTCATCTATAGCTTCATAAGGATAATCCTTTTCGGACATAATTCCGTTTTTTTCTATATATTCAAGTGCGTTTATCATTAATCCTCCACCACATCCATCATCTTGTTTGTCACAATCTACCAAATTTTGTTCGCTTAGGGAAACCAATTTGCCAGTTTTTCTGTAATTTGCCCCTTCAACTGTTCCCGTCTATTAAATATCAATTTAATAATTATTAATATTATATGTTCGTATTAATAAAATAACTTACAGTACTGAAGCTCCAACATGATCCGCAGGCTAATTGATTTTTTATCTCTGTTACAGCACCCTTTTTTCTCCAATCAATTTCGTTAGGAAGTTCACCTTCGTAATCCAATTTAGTAGGAGTGATTTCTTTATCTTCCGTCCTTTCACTCTTAGATAATTTCATCATATCTTTAAATTCTTGAGGTGTAAGATCAGCAAATACAGTAACTCCCATTCTGTATGATGAAAGACCTTGCTGTTCTTTTGCATTATGAGCTTCAATTCTGCGCAAGTTCGATTGGAAGATCGAGAATCGTTTCGTTTCTTCTAAAGCGGTTTTGTATACTTTCTTGTTTGTAGACTAACAAAAATTATGTTACACATTATTACCACTAAAAAATCCCCTTTAAATTACTTACTTTAAAATTGAGCCATTCCTCCTTATCGGTAAGTGCATAGGCAACGAGCACGTTTGCCAAAAGTAATGTAATTATCAGTTTCATCTAAAAATTTTATTAATTCATAGATAGGTAATCGATTTAAAGTGAAAAAAATAATTGTGAGAGTACTTACGTTTTTTTCTTTCTTTATAACTTGAAGACAGTTGGAAATGTATTGTTTCGAAGTGCAGTTGAGACTATGAAATGAATTTCCGAAGTGAACCTTTTTATATTGGCTAAATCTTATTTTTCTGTTATTAGGAAATTACATATTTCTTAATTACTTGTAAAATAATTATATCTTTAAATCTGTAGTACCTATATTGTTTGTCAACAAATATAAATAACGATCTGTTTTTAATATGTTGACCTAACATTTTTAAAATTATAATTTTTTATTAGATTTAATTTACAAATCATCCTTTGCAAAATTTATTTTTTTTCTTGTAATTATGTTCATTCGATAAATATCATTTATCGAAAAATTTGTTGTCTAAATATTTGTGTTTATTTAAGGAAAATAGTGGTTTCTTATTATTTATAATATTCTGATGGAAATTCTCAAAATGCATAGATATTTCAAATAGAAACTAAGTTGTAATAATGGCAAATTTAGTAAAATATCAATTGCAACATAGAAATCAAGAAGATCTTATCGAAATTTCATAACGAATTAGAAATTGTCAAGAACTATGTAGAACTCCCCAGAATCATTTAAATTGCTTAAAGACCAATCAAACAGCAGCAGTGTTTCAGCAAGTGTCGACGTTTTACCAATGCGATTCAGCGAAAAGGTGCACAAGTCAATCCGCGGGCAAAGGAAAGCCAAGAATTTGTCACTGCCCAAGCAAACATATTCCGACAAGCTTCCAGCTACCCAAAGTTCACTTAGGCCCGGTTGCTCGTACGCTGATCTACTTTAATCCTGGATTAAGCCGAGATTAAATCAGGATCAAACATGGCCGCCAGTTGATCCGAATTTAATCCGCATACGAGCAACCGGGCATTAGATAAATATCCAAATTAAACATAAATCCTTTTCTACCATTCTACAATCTCATACTACCACCAGATAACGAACCCAAAACAACCCAAAAAATTCTCCCGAAACTACCCCCTTACCCTCCAAGGTACCCTTCTTCCTTCTTCACCTCCTTTATTTCCTCATCCACCTTTCCATTAAAATAGAATATGTCATTTACGGATACAGGTCAAGTCACAAAATACATACAGATTGCTCCATTTTTGATCGCAACATAGGTTATATAGGCCATGGGTGCGATAAAGAAAACTTCCATTAGACACTTACAAAGGAAAAGGAAAGAGTGACATTTGTGTCATTGCAACTTTTCACTCTGACAACTGTCATTTTAATAATCTTTCTTTGTCCCACTCATGGAAATGACCATGTTGCAATCGGAAATGGAGCAAGGTGTATATAAAAGTTGCTAAAAAACTCTTTCAAATAAATCCGCCCCTCCCAATAATTAAATTACTCCATTCCTACCTCCATCACCGCTCAATTCATCCTTGCCCACTCCTATACCTTATTTACACATACGACGTACCCCTGCCTCGCACCCCTAACTCCTACATACAATTTCCTTAAATCTTAATAAAACCCAAAACATCCTTTTTACTAACCCTTACAAACCCTTCCTTTAAACCTTTAAACGGGAACAAAGCGGCCTCAGCCTGTTCCCAGACACAAATTTGCCACATAATTGTACCACAATGCGCCACATGAAAAGGAAGTAAATCCCCATTTATAATTGTCTATGATAGATTGATTTAAAGATCTAAGACTCAAAGTAACACTCTTAAACACCAGAAAAGATCCACGAACCTTGTGATCCAAAGAAAGACTCAATTACTCAAAAAATACATCAACTTTTTTTTCCTTCAATTTTTTTTAACTTTTCGTGAGAGTATTAAGAACATGCCTTTGGAACATATCAGTTAGTCCTTGGATCTAAAAGACCTGCAACGGATCTACCGAAAGAAAGATGTTCGACTCTGTTTTCGTCTGAGTCGTGAATTACAAAACGTCCTTTTTACGGACGTTTCAAGGCGTCCAGACGTTGAAAGACGACCACGGTCTTACTTACTTAATAATAATAATGTAACATTAGTGTAACTTTACCCGTTTGAAATGTATTTTGTCAACTTTGTCCTTTTCTCAGCCAATAATAGTGTAAATAGACAATTATCACTTATAAGAATTTCAGATTCATTTTTCTCAAAAAAATTGTTGTGTAAGACATGAAAATTTTCACAGCGTTGTTTAGAGAATAATCACCGTCATCAATTTCGAAAGAAAAAAATATGGGTTGTCATTTAAAAAAATGATGAGTTCATCGCTGCCCTAAACGGGTTAACGAAAAAAAAATTTTCTACATAACAATGTGGCCTGGATGAAATAAAAATCGACGGGTCTCAGCGTTTTTCGAAAAAAAATATTTTTTTAACGAAAATATGAATTTTACCACAATGTATAATAATATTGTATACATTGTTGGAAACTAATTCATAATGGTAGACTGGATTTCAGACGGCTAAGAATATAACATTGATTTCCCTATTATGCGAAATTAAATTTCCAACGATGTATAAATTGGATTATATTATTTGAAATTCCCAAATTTAATAGTATTGATCATTTTAAAATATTAACCGTATCATAAGCTGCTGAAATGTCTAAAAATACTCCGATCATGTATCTATTATGGAATGATATCGGAAGATTTTTAATCATAGATTTTATCATAATTTAAATTTGTTTTACTACTGATATATGATTTCCATTCATATCGCCCATTTTAATTAAATTTCTATTATTTGTTTTTTTAACAAAATCTACCCATTTGGTGACCCCTTGGAAATACCGCGTGTCGTTGCCCTCTTTTTTTATTATTTTATTGTAATAACATTATTTTATCTACAATGTTTGCCACATTTATCAGAGGCAACGGCTATACCACGATTCTGGACAAATTAAGAATTTATACAAGAGCAGAGAAATGCTTTCCTTTTTGTGGGTCGACATTTGCCTAGCTAGTTGATTTGAAAGCCAGTTGGGTGCGTGTTACCTTTGAAACGAAAAGTTACATTTCATTTAGATCGTTACACGAGCAATACTAGTAGTAAACGTACGGCATTTAAAATTCGGAAAATATGGTTGAGATAAGACGCACAGGGCAGTAAATGTAATTTCTAGGTGGGCTGGTGTTTCCTATGTAAATGGAATTCAGAGTTAACGATTGGCTCCCCCAGGGGGAGCCAATATCCTCCTACTGTTCCAACCAATGGAGTGCCTACTGTTCTTCTCTAGGTAAACATTTCTCAGTTTGGTATTTAAAAATCACTGGGTGAATGTTATCCCACGAAAGAAACATAAATATCAGCTAAACATTTTATTTTTAAAATTGGGATAGTTTATTCGCTTGTCAAAAGAAGGATAAACTATTCCAATTTTTACCAAGAGAGTTACTCCGTTTTTAATTTCTTGCTGTTAACAACGAACAGCTTACTGAAATTTATTTCTTCGCCAGGTTTAGTGTTATATGTTACCTACATAATGCTCGAATAAGCGGTAATTTTCGATAGGCACCAGCAACGCGGTGTGGTTCTACTAGATATTGCAAAAAGAAGTTCTTCTCTAGTATTGTTCTGAAGTTCTTAAAATTGTCTTTCCTTCAGGAGTTTCAAGCTGATCCACGGAATCTCCTATGACTCTCCGTTTAGTATGATCACACTCAGTATACTCCTTCTTTGTATAACAACCAATAAAATGTATATGGTAATTTACCGGATGTTGGTCTTCTCTTCCTTTTTTTTTTTTCGTAGTAAGACTTCCACCACGGTAAGTTTCTATACAGTGAGGGGCAAAATTTATGAATAAATAAATTTTTTCGAGAATAGGCGACTTTGGAGACAACCCGAAACAGGTCGATTTTTATCTTTAAATAGTGATAGCTCCGTCTAAGTCGCGTGATAGCTCATTTAAAAAGTTATTCAATTATCTGTTTAGTGATATAAACATTAATATTGTCACGGTAAGACTTTGTCTTCAAGTTTGTGTTCGTACGTAATTCGTGATTCGCCGATTACTTTATCGGCGGAACCTCTTTGCTACGGGGCGTAGCGTTAGAGTCTTCAGTCTACTTTTTATTTTCTGAAAATGGGGGTTCTACCAGGGTCCCAGAGAATAATACTCAGAGAGTAAAAACAAACAAATATAGTAAAACCGTTACACTTTTGATCGGTGGAACTACAACACACTCACGGAACTACTGTTACAACACCTTTTTTCAATTTGGACCGCAAGATATCACGCGTACTGTCCCTTATCGTACGGGATAAGGAATCTCTCAGGGCGCGAGCCGGTCAGGCTTTTTATGCCAACCAATCTCCCCCGTTTGTTCATCGTTCTCATGGTGGTCCGACCGACGGTGGAGTTTGGTTGCATCCTGTTTTACATGATTCCTCGAAATATTTTACCTATCGTTGCGTTATTTTCAACGATTATCACAGGTTCAATACTCGAGTTTCCTGACCGTCTCGCGGCCCATTGGCGTTTGTGACAATATATTTATTGGTAAAGAGTGGACAAAAATATTTTTCATAAATTCATAGTAAATCAAACGACCCTTCGGATAATTTCGAACTACTTTTCTCATAATAACAATTTTCGATATTGAAAAGGTACCTACTTTACTATTGAGCAAAATTCATATTTTTTACAAAATTTGAAACAAAATTTTTGACAAAATTTGATATCTGATGGTTGCATCTTAGATTTTAGACTATAGAACTAAACTACTCAAAATGAAAGAGGAGACACTATTTTAAATGATAATGCTATTATCGCGAGAAATATTTCATGGTAGAAACTTTTGGTGTGTACTCTCTACTAATTCAATATCATGTTCCTTTCGGTTGTTGTTTACTTTTTTTATTTCTAGCTACATAAAAACAAAAATCATTGATATGATAAGTTCATTATTTAGTTTCACTTTACTTTAATTCGTGATGGGTATTAAATTTTTAAATTTAAACAATGAATGTTGATGTATTGGGTAGAAGGAGAATACGTAGGGTGTACCTCAACGAATTTTAAGTTGCTAGAGCAGTGGCATTGATCGAAGTAGAGTATTCAAGGCGTCGTGTAGCCCAAATGCTTAA